AAATACACTGAGGATAAATACAACAAGGGCCAAATACACTGAGGATAAAAACAACAAGGGCCAAATACACTGAGGATAAAAACAACAAGGGCCAAATACACTAAGGATAAAAACAACAAAGGCCAAATTCACTGAGGATAATCAGAACAAAGGCCAAATACACTGAGGATAAACACAACAAACGCCAAATACAACGAGGATAATCACAACAAAGGCCAAATACACTGAGGATAATCAAAACAAAGGCCAAATACACTGAGGATAAACTCAACAAAGGCCAAATACACTGAGGATAAACACACCAAAGGCCAAATACACTGAGGATAATCAAAACAAAGGCCAAATACACTGAGGATAAACACAAAAAAGGCCAAATACACTGAGGATAAACACAACAAACGCCAAATACAACGAGTATAAACACAACAAAGGCCAAATACACTGAGGATTATCACAACAAAGGCCAAATACACTGAGGATAAAAACAACAATGACCAAATACACTGAGGATAAAAACAACAAGGGCCAAATACACTGAGGATAAAAACAACAAAGGCCAAATTCACTGAGGATAATCACAACAAAAGCCAAATACACTGAGGATAAACACAACAAACGCCAAATACAACGAGTATAAACACAACAAAGGCCAAATACACTGAGGATTATCACAACAAAGGCCAAATACACTGAGGATAAAAACAACAAAGGCCAAATACACTGAGGATAAAAACAACAAGGGCCAAATACACTAAGGATAAAAACAACAAAGGCCAAATTCACTGAGGATAATCACCACAAAGGCCAAATACACTGAGGATAAACACAACTAAGGCCAAATACACTGAGGATAATCACAACAAAGTCCAAATACACTGAGGATAATCACAACAAAGGCCAAATTCACTGAGGATAATCACAACAAAAGCCAAATACACTGAGGATAAACACAACAAACGCCAAATACAACGAGTATAAACACAACAAAGGCCAAATACACTGAGGATAATCACAGCAAAGGCCAAATACACTAAGGATAATCACAACAAAGGCCAAATTCACTGAGGATAATCACCACAAAGGCCAAATACACTGAGGATAAACACAACAAAAGCCAAATACACTGAGGATAAACACAACAAACGCCAAATACAACGAGTATAAACACAACAAAGGCCAAATACACTGAGGATTATCACAACAAAGGCCAAATACACTGAGGATAAAAACAACAATGACCAAATACACTGAGGATAAAAACAACAAGGGCCAAATACACTAAGGATAAAAACAACAAAGGCCAAATTCACTGAGGATAATCACCACAAAGGCCAAATACACTGAGGATAAACACAACAAAAGCCAAATACACTGAGGATAAACACAACAAACGCCAAATACAACGAGTATAAACACAACAAAGGCCAAATACACTGAGGATGAACACAACAAAGGCCAAATACACTGAGGATAAAAACAACAAGGGCCAAATACACTAAGGATAAAAACAACAAAGGCCAAATTCACTGAGGATAATCAGAACAAAGGCCAAATACACTGAGGATAAACACAAAAAAGGCCAAATACACTGAGGATAAACACAACAAAGGCCAAATACACTGATGATAAACACAACAAAGGCCAAATACACTGAGGATGAACACAACAAAGGCCAAATACACTGAGGATAAACACACCAAAGGCCAAATACACTGAGGATAATCAAAACAAAGGCCAAATACACTGAGGATAAACTCAACAAAGGCCAAATACACTGAGGATAAACACACCAAAGGCCAAATACACTGAGGATAATCAAAACAAAGGCCAAATACACTGAGGATAAACACAACAAAGGCTAAATACACTGAGGATAAACACAAGAAAGGCCAAATACACTGAGGATAATCACAACAAGGGCCAAATACACTGAGGATAAAAACAACAAGGGCCAAATACACTGAGGATAAAAACAACAAAGGCCAAATACACTGAGGATAAAAACAACAATGACCAAATACACTGAGGATAAAAACAACAAGGGCCAAATACACAGGATAATCACAACAAAGGCCAAATACACTGAGGATAAACCCAACAAAGGCCAAATACACTGAGGATAAAAACAACAAAGGCCAAATACACTGAGGATAATCACAACAAGGGCCAAATACACTGAGGATAAAAACAACAAGGGCCAAATACACAGGATAATCACAACAAAGGCCAAATACACTGAGGATAACAAACGCCAAATACAACGAGGATAAACACAACAAAGGCCAAATACACTGAGGATAATCACAACATCACTGAGGATAAACACAACAAAGGCCAAATTCACTGAGGATAAACACAACAAAGGCCAAATACACTGAGGATAAAATTATAGAAATGATCGAGTTCTTGGTCGACATTATCGTTTTTGAGACAAATCGACCACATCGATCATACATCTGTATATACCCTCCCGACCTTGAAATAAATTTCACTACACACTCTTCTTCAGGTTCTCTCCTCGATTTTTACATAAAGCATAGCATAACAGGCCTGTCAACTAATAAGGTGTACGATAAGCTGGACGATTGCGACTTTGTGAAGTTTCCCTTTCCTGATAGTAACAGTTGTTGTCTACCAATCCCTTTATTGTTTAAATGTCGCAGTCGACTCGGTTTTAAAGAGCTTGCCTCGAATATCGTGACTCTCGTGAAAGGTGTCAACTGTTGACGGAAAAACTATAAATGGTTTCCCATGATGCAGACTGATAAAGATTACTGTCAAGTTGTGTGGCGCAGTCATGACCTCAATGGCAAATATGTTATTTTCTTGTGTGATATGAATGTAGATGTTTTTTTTTTTAATTTGCTCATTAATGTGCCTTGCAGTGTTGTTGTCACTTCCCGAGTTCTCGAGGGGAGAACATGACATCACTTGGATTCGTCTCAGATTTACATGGCGTGGTAGGAAGGTGGATCTTGGATTCGTCTCAGATTTACATGGCGTGGTAGGAAGGTGGATCCTGGATTCGTCTCAGATTTACATGGCGTGGTAGGAAGGTGGATCTTGGATTCGTCTCAGATTTACATGGCGTGGTAGGAAGGTGGATCTTGGATTCGTCTCAGATTTACATGGCGTGGTAGGAAGGTGGATCTTGGATTCGTCTCAGATTTACATGGCGTGGTAGGAAGGTGGATCTTGGATTCGTCTCAGATTTACATGGCGTGGTAGGAAGGTGGATCTTGGATTCGTCTCAGATTTACATGGCGTGGTAGGAAGGTGGATCTTGGATTCGTCTCAGATTTACATGGCGTGGTAGGAAGGTGGATCTTGGATTCGTCTCAGATTTACATGGCGTGGTAGGAAGGTGGATCTTGGATTCGTCTCAGATTTACATGGCGTGGTAGGAAGGTGGATCTCTCCCATTAATGCAGATAAACATGAGTGAGATAAGTATGATCAGTACGGTGCTTAGAGATGAGGTTGCGGTTTCTCCGACTAGGCAGGTAAGATTTGAATTTTGATTGCACTTTAATAAGTATGTTGCTGATCTGGAGAGACCATCGTTGTTGTCATTCACTTTGAATGGCCGATCGTATTATAGGTTTATAACCGTTTGAGACAGTTTGATATCGATTTGCTGGGAGTTGCATTTTCGCTGCTCTGTCAGCATTTTTATTACCTTTAATGCCTCAGAATCCATAGGTTTTGTATAAGGATGTATTTGGGATATCGTAACTGCAGACTTTAAAGGACCGATAGAGAGTCACAACAGACGATTGCCATTTCAACGTGGTGTTCACAGATATAGTCAGGGGCCAAATTGATGGCACACCTTTCCTCGGAGAAAATAGAGGCACCGTCTGGTAATCGAATGGCAGTGTAAAGCTGCTACCTTTTTGCCGTCTTTGGAACTATCAATGCTAAGCTGTATATGAGCAAGGAATCCCGATATACACCCCCGGTCGACCGGAAGTAATGTGTGACGAAAAAACCCATACAATTGTTCATATTATTTTTCTGTTCCACCCTACCAATTTTTAAAAAAAACTTGCATCGCGCACAGCATTATCAGTCTTCCAGGTAACGACCGCCTAATCCACTTATTGCATTTAAGTTTATCTTGGACAAAGTTCGTTTGTGATATCTATTGGGTATGATTATATTTTTGCCTTCTGCATTCTCAGGCAGAAACTAGCGAGCCTAAATATTAAATCTGTGGGAGAAATCGTTGCCCAGGTACATGGTGAGAATTTACTTGGTAATAGTATTGATGACAGTCTGTCCTGGTCAACTCACATAAAACACCCAGTTCTGCCCCATCGATTCCCTATTTTTTCACCAAAATTGACGTAACGTGACTCCCAAATTACGGGTGAGTCGCTAACTGTCAATTTAGGTATACTTATTAAGTCATTCACCTCAACCCCGGGAACGCCCTGGTGTCATTGCTTTTCTGATCAAAAACATTTTTTTTTCTAATATCACAAGAAACATGTGTATTTAAAACATTTAACTATATAACAGCAATGTTATTAAATTGGAAGTTTTCAGTGATGTGAGTTATGGAAATCCTGCACTATGATAAACATTTACTACTATAGACTGAACTTGGTAACCCGTAACGAACGGGTGACTGCTCCCTGACTTGTGTTTCCTTGTTTAACTCCCCGACAATGGCGTGAATACCAGACAGAGCCAGCTCCAATTGTTGTCAACAATGCTACACACCAACAGCACTCCAGATAAGACAGCTTTATGACATTTTAACGTCGAATGCTCATCCGTTACGTTCAAATAAAAGTTGTCGATAGAACAAAATATTATCTCCAATATTGTAGACAATAAATTCGATAATATTGATATTGTTGATGTTAATAGCTACTTCACTATCAAATTGAGAATGACAGATATAAGAAACTAACTAGTATAAAATGTCTGTGTACTGTTGTTGGACAGGGGTCGCACAACTACCAATCGAGGTGGAACTTGACTTGTGAGGATAGGCACAGTAGGTAGATTCATAGAGGTGCGTGTGTGTTTGGTGACCGAGATTAAGGGTGAATTTACGGGCAGAATTAAGGTAAGTGGATTCACTTTCAGCACTTCAAGCCTACACGTGTTGTGAGGAAGTGTAGAGTTACTCGCGGTGATATTTCAATAGACTGTAGTTATTAATACCGGACATATCAGTGGAATGATTTGTGGTAGTAAGTTATAGTCCTACTCTAATTTGAATTTTACTCAGATAATTTTTTTAACAGACAATATTGAAACAAAATGAAATCTTGTTAAGACAAATTAAATAGAAAACTAGTTGTAATCTGCGATTGCAGTAAATGTTCTCTCACGCTGTCTGCTTTCTTATCGCTATTTTTTAATGTTTATTTTGTCGGCGGTATATAGTACTCCGATCACTCATTGATAATGGAGGGACAGATGGAAGCATTGTGTCCTTTTGTTTACGATGACAGGTGAATGATTAACACTAAGGAAGGATAACGTGAGATTTATATATATATTACGTATACACCAGGATGTTACACACATTTTATTGATAATAATTTAATTCACTTCAAGTACAGTAGCGGAGGATCTTTTATCAGTTGTATAACTATGGATGTTAATCACAATTTTAAATACATTTTGAAGTATGGAATAATTAATTTAAAAAGATGTAGGAATTCATGATTAGCATTAAATTCTGAATTTATTGATAAGATAAATGATTCTAGAATTATATTAATTTATACATTGTTTTGATGCAAAAATATTAAACAAACGTGTGAGAAGTGACCCATCTCAGTTACTTTTCGTGCCTGTTGCGCACCATCATCACAATAGTAACAACCTAGTAACAAATCAGAAACAGGCCAGTAACAAACAAGTACCATACTGATGACATACCATTTCACAAACATAAGTAACACACTAATGACAGTTAAGTAACAGGCAAATAACACGCGATTACCACACCATTGTCACAAACATCATTAACACATATAAATAACACACCAGTAACAGGCAAATGACACACGGGTACAACATTAAGGACACACCATTTCACAAATATAGTAACATATTAGTAAATCACCATTTATATACAAGTAGCATGCTCATGTTACACACCAGTACCACATAAGTAACACACAAAAACATTAGTTACAAACTAGTATGACGTAAGGTAACACATCAACAACACCGGTATCACACCAATAAAACACATTGGTAAACTAGTAACACACCACATACTCACAGGTTTCGCACATGTAACAATTTAGTAACACATTTATTTTACGATCGTTATCACTAAGGTTAAGTTACTAGTAAAACTAAACAACTAACTGTTAGGTCACGGTAAACATATGACGCTCTGTGTTATTTCTGATTTAAAGCTGCTACGATTTTTTTTAAGATCTGATAGATTTGACCCATTATACGTAGATGATTTGTACTGGGACAATAGATGCTTGTGTACAGAGTTAATTTATCAGTCGGGATCGTAATCTGATTTCCCATAATGGGATAATGTGTAACCTTAATATAGATCACGAATTTCACAAAGCTACAGGATACATAAACAACAAAACATCATTATATCACATCATTAGAAACAATGGAGCAACAATACCCCCATATTATTTTACACATCCTTTTATAATTTTGCCTTGGACTGTTGACACTAGTAGCACAAAGCAAGCATCAAACACGTGAAAATTATATATTTTTTTAAACTAAGCTGTGTGTAAGGCCATTGTTTCATTAGGGATAGGTACAATCTTTTTTTCATTTCTATGCCGTATAAGATATCTTGCTTCTATTGTTTATACCGAGGAAACATTAACACACAGGAACACATATCTTTTTATACAGCCACTAGTAAACTTCAATAACGTTGTTTGAAATATTTAAACAACGTACATTTTTTTAAAGATGCTTTTGTTTTTGTGTATTAACCTGAAAATTAAACAAATGTGGTCAAATGAGTAGTTTATTTCTGTTTCATCTGAATTAAACAAAATGTTGATGAATGCTTTATTGAAAATTGATTTTAAACAATAATATGTACAAATAAGTTCCACTAACGACTGCTGGTTGGTTATCATGTTTATCAAACTTGAGTTAATTAATTTACAAACTGTATACAAACTCGAGTTTTATGGATTGTTTTTGTAACAATTGGGGCATTCAATAGTTATAGCTAGATTCACATGATAACCAGTCATCACGGATGGTCGACCATTTCCCATAACGTTCATATAGTAGATAGAAAGCATATGTCTTGGAAATAAACAATTTTTATTTCGATCGGGGGAACAGTTGCTCTGAATTATAATGTCACAATTAAAGATGACGAAACAATTATCTCGTTTTTACGAGTTAATCTATATCGTTATAACGACCTCAGCCAATTCGTAATAACGCGATAAAGATACTTTTATTGCGTGGTACTAATCGGTTTTCGTAATTCCCACGTGTATGACCCGTTTCAGGGTTTCATGTTCTTTCATTCTGTTTATCTGTTGAACATCTGCTCGGATTCAACTATAGTTTTCATTTGTCTTTATATATATTAACTTGTCTTTGTATATGTTAATTTGTCTTTATATATGTTGATTTATCTTTGTGTATATTAATTTGTCTTTGTATATATGTTAATTTGTCTTTATATATGTTGATTTGTCTCTTTGTATATGTGAATTTATCTTTGTATGTATGTTAATTTGTCTATGTATATGTTAATTTGTCTTTGTATATGTTATCATTTTGCTTTGAATTCCCCATTTTTCTTTGTTATGAACAAAATATATCAACTTTTTATAAGGCTCATTGGTGTGTCGTGTGTATCTTTGTTTTTGTAATGAGCATTTCTTATTTTCTTCTGGTTCACACAAAGCCAGTACAACATATTACATGGTCATTTATATCACTTCAATAGTGATTTTTAAACAATGCAGTTTCTTTCTTTCATTACTCTTTTTCAAGTAATTGCTAATTAGTTAAATAACTGTTCCAATGGGCGCCATTTTTCAATTACTTCGTGAACTTTTTTTAATCTGTATAACTTGTTAGCTAAATATTCAATTTCTCGATGATGTTTTAAAAATATTAAGACACCTTTTATTGACGGTATACTAGACTTACATTTACAGATGTATATGTAACGTCTTATCATCAAAAAGCAGAAATTTAGCAATGTGTTATTATTTCCGCCGGAGTAACCTAAGATGGCGTCCTTTGTTTTTATTTCAATTTCTATATTACATTTTACGTATAGTAAGTCTGTATAAGGAACACATGAATGCATTGCAACAAAAGATGATACATATCTTCATCTTCGTAGTTACAGAAAGTACATTATTTATTATCTTTTATACCAAATTTAAACAGAAGCGTATTTGTGCATAGTATTCTGTGATATATTTTATACTAAACATTTTGTAAAACGACATCATGAATGCAACTCCTTTGTATCGAGTAAATAAATTTCGTGTTAATATCTAAATTTGTAATGTCTTGAGACAATTTTTCCATTGCTTTTTTGTTCTTATAAGCGTTATATTTTCTTTATCTTTAGTATTATTACTGCCCCGATTACGAATTGACATTTTCCGTACCTGGGATGGCTTTAATAACACCATAAAAACGGATTCTGTTCATGTTCGGAAAATTAAAGTTTTCTTGAATGTTATGTTGCCATCGTTTTCAAATAAATCTGCTACCTCATTTATACCCCGTTCTTGCCATGGTTGGAAATATACTGTCTTATTATCTATTTTTATATTGTGGATAAACAAAATTGGCTGCCACACGTAGTATTCTGTATTTTCATGTTCTAAATTTAACGTACTCCAAGCTATAAACACATCTCTCTAGAAGCCATTTAAGTTTTCAACAATTTTTGTCATATCTTTTTTAACATAAGAGAGAATGTTTAGGTTTCCATATTTTTCTAATTGGGAGATGTATTTTGAAAATCGAGTAATTTCTTTATCCAAGTAAATGTTAAAGCTTCAATGAAACTTTCTTTGGCTATCATTTTCATTCCACCGTTTTCGTAACTATTTTTTAACGTAGTTCTCTTAAATTTGTCTTTTTTTTTTCATTCCATATAAAATTAAAACAGATATGTTCTATTTGTTGAACAATATGGCAATGTGAATTTGGTAAAACTGTAAATAATTGCACGAGAATAGGGATAACAAGTGATTTAACAACGGTTATTTTTCGAGGCCTGGTAAGATTTCTAAGCGACCAGTTTTTTAGAATACGAATAACTTCCGCTATTTTATCATCATAATTAACAAAAGTTGTATCAGTTTTACTAAGGTCGTACTTGATACCAAGGACTTTAAATTTTCCTGTAAAATTCCATTTTAATCCTCTTTCAGCACATATGTTTTCGTGGCTGCCCTTTTCCTACCTAGACATATTTCCTCCGTTTTATCATAGTTTGCTCTAAGACCAGAACATTTGCCAAATGAATCTAAAATATCTAAAGTTGTTTTCATTAGAGTATCATCATATTCAAGACTAATAGTAGAACCGTCCGCATACTGACTCGCAAGAATTTCTGTTTCACCTGTTTCAATGCCATTAATATCTGGAGAAAATTTTGATGTAGCACTTAGTATTTCTACTACCATGATAAACAAATATGGCGACAGAGGGTCACCCTGACGCACACCTCTTTTTTGATCGGGGAAAAAAATGAAAAAAATCCGTTATTTATTACGCAACTGTAGTCCGAATTATTCTGACGTTTTATCGACTTTTTTCATATCGGTCTGTCGTCGATTAACGTCAGAACTCCGGCCCTCTATAATATGCGGGAAATATACGACCCGCGCCCGGAGCGCACTTCAAACTGATATTTTAGAAACAAATCGTCACTTTCACACACATATCGCACATGGATCGAAAGATCTATTCTTAATGCACTAGGTGGTATCAATAAGATGTTTCAAAGACCATTACGAAAAGCATTTTCCAACGTTTTCTTTACCAACCCATGTTTTTTTATGGAAATTAGGTCATGAGAAATGTCACATGACTTGACGAGATCTCGCGTTACCCAAGGTATTTCCCAACGTTATGACGTAGGCCGGCGAGATTTTAGTCACGTGGCATTGGAAGGCTGGGCTATCAAAAAACTAGAGTAAAACTGAGTAAGTTTGAAAAAATATGTTTTTAGTGATTGTATTAGTTGTTTGAGGCATGTTATGTATGTTCATCTTGTGCATAAAGAATAGATCTTTCGATCCATGTGCGATATGTGTGTGAAAGTGACGATTTGTTTCTAAAATATCAGTTTGAAGTGCGCTCCGGGCGCGGGTCGCATATTTCCCGCATATTATAGAGGGCCGGAGTTCTGACGTTAATCGACGACAGACCGATATGAAAAAAAGTCGATAAAACGTCAGAATAATTCAGACTAACGCAACTGGTGACGTCTTTATAAAAAAGTTTTATCCATGTTTTAAAATTGCTACTAAAACAAAAGAAGTCTAAAGTTCTATCGAGAAAATCCCATTCCACCGTATCGAAGGCCTTTTCAAAATCGATTAAAAGTAATATTCCAGCTATATCTTTCTGTTTTCTCGGTTAAATCATAAATAATTCTTGTGCATTCGCCTATGTATCTTCCTTTAAGAAAGACCTTTTGTGTGTCGCTGATGATGTTATTTAAAACTGATTATAATCTGTTTGCTTATACACTGGTAATAATTTTATAATCTGCATTCAGTAGCGAAATTGGGCGTCAGTTCTTTAAAAAACCTTTTGCTTTGTTTGATTTTTGTGAGCAGGTTATTACTCCCTGTTTTTGAGTAATTGATAATTGTTCATTTTCAAAACTATACGTAATTGAATTAATAAGAAAACGTTTTAAATTTTTCCAAAAAAACTTCAACTGTAGACCCGGAGATTTAGAGTTCTGCATTTTAAAGAGAGCTTTCGCACATTCTGAATAAGTGACTTTACTTTCACAAAGACCTTTTTCTTCGTCTGAAAGTTTACTAATAAATGGATTATCATTACAAAAAAAAGTATTCTTTTGATCATCAGTTATATTTGGATTTGTGGAGTTATAGAGGTCTTTGTAAAACAATCTCTGTTCTTCTAAGATGTTTTTAATATTAGTAATTTCGGAACCATCATTGCGAACTAATTTTGGAATCAGTTTTTCGGTATAATTTCTTTTTTCTAAATGACAAAAATATTTTGTGCACTTTTCCCCTTCCATATTCCACCTAGCCTTTGCTCTGATCATTAGTCCCCGTATTCGTTCTTGCCTTAAATCATATAGTTACAATTCTATTGCTTCCAAAATATTTAAGGTTTCTTGATTTTCCAAAATTATCTGGTCGGTTTGTAATTTCAAAATGTCAGATTCCAATTTCAAAAGTGTTTCTTCTTTTTGTCTTATTTTTCCAACTTGCATATGCTGTAGTTTTCCCCCCTTGTAGTCAATTTGATAACTTTCCACAGGAGTCGATCATTTACTGAAAAACTTGCATTGTCAAAATTGTTGTCTATTATTTCACCGATTGTATAATCATTAAGAACTTAGTTTATTACACTTTTAACATTTACAATATAATTTCTATCATGCAGCAATGCATTGTTGAATTTCCACGTTCCTCGTCTCTTTTCATGGTTATATAGTTTTAACTTAACAATAATTGGTGCATGATCTGATTTATATTTAATACCTTTATCTGAAAAAGTGACAAGAGGCTGAAGATCAGATGAGATAAGAAAATAATCTAAACGGCTACATTTTCCACCTGGATCAAACCAACTATACCTCTTTACCTCTGGATGTTGATTTCTCCAAATATCAATGAAATCTAATTCTTCTATAATGTGAAGCATAGCTGCCGTTGCATTTTTATTGTTTTCTCTAGAATATTTATGTGTATCATTGTGGTTTGTTGTTACTACTCTGGTTCTCTCTTGGATAACAGGAAACATTTTTTTGTGGCATAGATGTATCTGTTGTGTGAAACAGAAGACACTTCATACTCTTGAACACCTGTTCCCATTGTTCAAGTGTTTCTTGAACCTTTTCAATGGTCATATACATGTTTAGTTCCCCTAGTTAAATCGATTTCGAGTTACATTGTGGTATGAATAATTGATTACTTTTTTGAAAATGAATATTTGATGCAATACATCGTTTTAATTTGTTACACATCAAATGTTTTCAACATTGACTTTTTCATAAACATAAAAAACGGTTTAAGAGAGATACCCATATAAAAATATCTCTGAATTCTCACTGGTTTGATTTTTGTGCGATTTGAAGGTCGGTGTTTGTTATTATGCTAATTAGTGTCCATTGGGTTTTTTGTTGTCACTTCCCTTGTTCTAGCTGTGATGACGGAACATAACTTAGATTTGACCTAGATTTACATGGAGGTTGTCGTTGATGAATCAAAAACACGCTTACCCTTCCGGAACACCTAGTCGTATATTCCCTCCTATGTTTATTTTTATCGTACTTTTAATACTTTTGTTCATGTTTCTCCTATTGTTGATAATCAAATTCATGTTTGTGATACTTAAGAAAATTATGTTCATATGAATCGTACAGTAACTGGTTAAGTTCATATTTATTGTGCTATAGAAATTATATTCATGTTCATCTTACTTTAGATGATTTTGTTCATATTATCGTAATATAGATAATTATGTTCCTGTTGATGATACTTTAAATAAATATGTCCATATCTATCGTACTATAGATAATTATGTTCATATTATCGTATTATAGATAATTATGTCCATATTATTGTACTATAGATATTTATGTTTGTGTTAATGATACTTTAAATAAATATGTCCAATTTATCGTACTACAGATAATTATGTTTGTGTTAATGATACTTTAAATAAATATGTCTATATTCATCGTACTATAGATTTTTATGTTTGTGTTAATGATACTTTAAATAAATATGTCTATATTCATCGTACTATAGATATTTATGTTTGTGTTAATGATACTTTAAATAAGTATGTCCATGTTTATTATGTAAATGTTTATTGTCTGATAGATAACGATGTCTATGTTTATAGACTATAGATAATTATATTCATGTTTATCGTACTAAAAAAAGTTATGTTCATATTAATAGAACTATGGAGAATTATGCAAATGTTTATTGTTTTTATAGATAATTATGTCCATGTTTATCGTACTATAGATAATTATGTCCCTGTTAATGCTACAACAGATGATAATTATCATTTTTATTATACAATAGAGGAGTTTGTTCATGTTAATAATCGTACTCTAAATATGTGTGTTCATGTTAATGGTACTCTGGATAATTCTTTCCATGATTATAGACTATAGACAGTTATATTAATGTTAATCGTTCTAAAAATAATTGTGTTCATATTAATAGACTATGGAGAATTATGTAAATCTTTCTTGTCTTATAGATAATTATGTTCATGTTTATATTTTTACTATTGATAATTAAGTTCATGTTTATATTTTTACTATTGATAATTAAGTTCATGTTTATCCTACTGTAGATGATTCTATCCATGTTAATGGTAATATGGATAACTATCTGCTTGTGTATCGTACTATAGACAAATCAGTAGCCAATAAATGTGTATGATACATATTTCTCTTACAACTTCATTATTTTTTCTATGTTGGTTAACAGGTCCAGAGGCTGAGATCGTATCAGCAGTGCTGACTGAGAGATATGAAGTCACTTCCATTGTGGCTGTTGCTCTTAACATTGGATTTTCCTCATGAAACAAGTAGCGCCTGTGATATACAGACACGCCTTAGTAAGTTTAACATAGGAACGTGTTTGACTTTTCCTACTTACATTTGCATATATTGATTCTCAGCAGAGGATCTAATGTACCCCATACCTGTCATTTGTTGCTTAATATTCTCATTATAGGGCTGGTCAGTCTGATTTGTAAGATTTACACCTGTATTTTTCTCACAATGAAGATGACATTCGAGCTCACATTTACAAGCATGTTCATCCATAAAAACTTACGCCTTCATACAAAATCAAACTATCACAGGTTCATACCTAGGTAAATACTAACGTCCTAATACAAAGTTATACACCCATGACCTCATGTAAAGTTACATTCACACGACCTCATAGAAAGGTAACTACTCACCCCTCCATACAAAGTTATACACTCACGACCTCATCCAAATAAAACATTCACGTACTCATACAAAGTTATACGCTCGCGCCGTCATACAAAGGTTAATACTCACGCCTTCATACAAAGTTAAACAATGACGCCTTCATACAAAGTTTAATACTCACGCCTTCATACAGAGTTAATCACTCACACCCTCGTACAACGTTACCTACTCTCGCCTTGATACACAATTATACACGCACGCCTCTATAAATAGTTATACACTAACGACCTAATATTTACACTTACGCCCTCATATACAGTTAAAACACTAACGTTCTAATACAAATTCTATGCTCGCGCCCTCATACAAAGTTAAACACTCACGCCGCCCTCATACAAACATTTACACTTACGCCCTCATACAAAGTTAAACACTTACGCCGCCCTCATACAAACATTTACACTTAAGCCCTAATACAAAGCTAAAACACTAACTACCTCATAAAAAGTTAAACACTAATGTCCTAGTACAAATTATATGCTCGCGCCCTCATACGAGGTAAAACACTCACGCATACAAAATGTTACACTTACGCTCTCATACAAAGTTAAACACTCATGACCTCATATAAAGTTACATTCCTACGACCTCATAGAAAGGTAAATACTCACACCTCCATACAAACTCAAACACTTCCGTCATCATGCAAAGTTAAACACTAACGTCCTAATACAAATTATACACTAGCGCCCTCATACAAAGTTAAACACTTACGCCTTTATACAAAGTTATTAAACACAAATGCCATCATAAAAAACTTATCCACTCACGCGTTCATACACATTTATAGACTTACGTCCGTGAAAGTTAAACATTCACGCCTTCATACAGAGTTGAACACTGACGCCTTTAAACAAAGTTATTAAACACAAATGCCCTCATGAAAACCTATGCAATAACGCCATCATACACTTACATCCGCATACAAAGTTAAACATTCACGCCTTCATACAGAGTTAAACACTCGCGCTCTCATACAAAGTTATACACTCACGCCTCCACACAAAAGTTAAACACTCGCGCTCTCATACAAAGTTAAACACTCACGCTCTCATACAAAGTTAAACACTCGCGCTCTCATACAAAGTTATACACTCACGCCTCCACACAAAAGTTTAACACTCGCGCTCTCATACAAAGTTAAACACTCACGCCTCCACACAAAAGTTAAACACTCGCGCTCTCATACAAAGATAAACACTCACGCCTTTATACAATGTTATACACTCTTGACCTCATACAAAGTAAAACACTTTCGCCTTCATTCAAAGATACATACTCACGTCCTCATTACTTTTTACACAGTTGTGCTCTGATTCCAAAGATATTCACACACATTCTCTATTACAATTGGTTATATTCTAACCCACATACAATATTTTAATCAACTCTAACGAAAATTATTTTCCTGTGCTGTCATTTAAAGCACGTTCACTTCCCTTTACATCCACTTCTCCAACGCTCTTGTACAAAGTAGATATCCATCAAAGTGAGTATTTGGACCATATCCTCACACTCCTACACATGCTCTTAAAAACCAATACACTAGTGCCCTCATACAAACTTAAATACCCACTCCCCATTACACATTTATACATCCACGCTTTCATCCAACAGATCCTCCTCATGACCTCTGGCACAAAAGGCCCTGACACAACGGTTCTATCTTGTCCTGCCTTTTGGCACCATCCTTGCCTAACACAAACTTTCAATTCTTCGTTTGGAGTGTATAGGGACGTCGTCCGGTATATTTGCCTTGAGTTTTAACCTTCGTTCTGTCCAAAACTATTCGGTTCAACACAGGAATTTCTCTACTCCTGTCATAGTTGCATCATACGTTTCTGTAATCAATGTTGTTTTACGATGCTTGGTGTTAAGCACTGCAAGAACCCCAAATCCTGAGAACCAGTGATTTTCTGTCGATGTAACCTGGCCTGAGTAATATTTTCGCCCTCATATAAATCACATGCACGCTTTGATATCGAACAAACAAATATCGACTTTGATTAAGTTAAACAAATACGAAGCGTGAAGTTGTTGAGGTGTATCTCCGATTTCATTTTTCAGCTATATCTCCAAGGAGCCCATTCCGTTACCAAGGGGAGGCTTTAAATATGTCCTGCCAAGCCATTGCACCTCCTGGTCATACTCTTGATAAAGCAGTACTCCGAATGATGACGCTAAACGCTGAGAGGGAGATGATAGAATATCCTTCCGTCATGTCCGTTTGGAACTCAACTTGTGTCGTCATTAACACCAATGCTGACGTGCGTTATCCGGCGAAAAGAACTTACGAGGACATTGAATACTTTTGTTTATTAACCTATCCCGAGTGTGAAAAACCAGACCAAACGTCAACCTTGGTGGCAGTAGACAGTGAGTATTTAAGATGCTTTGTACCATATAATATTAATTTGATGTCTTCGTGTCGGTAGACAATAATCTTAGATAATAGTGTGTAATCAGTTCCACATGCTGCACTGAAGCCAAACATTGTGGCATTAAAATTAGTTACTACCACGACAAACTGACGACAAACCGTAGTCATACCGGATATTTACTAATCTGTACAATTAGCGGGACGATTGCGATTTTCTGATCGTAAACCTTCCTTTTCTTGGTAGTAGCATCCCAGCATCCCCTATTTTCGATGTAGGTTGACGACGATAGTGAACATTCTGTATGGTCGCATTCGTGATCTCATTAGGTAATCTGCTATTTAATTGTATGATATAAAGGTCGATATTTTAGATTATGCTCTGTGTGTCTTGTGGCTTTCTTGTCACTGCACAAGTATATTTTCCGTGATTTTACCTTGATTTACATTGCGGGTATCGTCGTTGAAGCAGTGGACGGTCACCTTTCTAGAGCACCTTGTATACGTATCTTTGTATGGTTTTAGGGGTTTCTACGTAATTATTTCCTTGGTTCATATTTCCCTTGTGTGACTTTGAGTTCGGATTTTTACTTTTTGGCACTTTTGTTTTCTCCTGTTGTGCTTTGTGTCGAAAGATTGTGGGCTTGACGACATATAGTTTCATTTGTTCCAAATGACATTAACGAATTATTTTTTGTACTAGCTTTTTATTGACGTTAATGTGTAGTTACCATCTGATCAAGGGACACTGCTGAAATTCCTATGAGTTGGATGACAGTGAGTACTAACAGTAATGTGTATTTACTACCAGGCGACACTGGTGACATTCCTCTGTTTTGGTTGGCAGTGAGTATTAACAGTAATGTGTAGTTAATACCAGGTGACATTAGTGGCATTCCTCTGTGTACTTTAACTGTGAGTCATAATGACATGGGTCGGTTTATGTCTTATAATATTAACGAAAAATATTTTGCTATTGTAAATATTTTTAATTCAGCCAGGTTTAAAGTAACCACTTTGTCCAATATGTCAAATGGTTAAAACCGTCCGCACGTTACTAATATGAACTTGTTTGTCTTCGTTTACTTAACCAGTGTCAAATCAAATTACACAACTGAACGAACGCAGTGATAACACCAATGTCAATGTCACAGCATACTTTAAGTTATATTTCTGATCCTTTATAATCTATGTATCAAACCGAAATTTTGTAACTTTCTTGTCGTATTTTCGTGTCGTCATTTCCGTATTGCGTATCGGGCTTTCCAATACCGTAGCGTAAATTATAGTAACACCGGGTAAGCAATAGTACACGTGCGTGACGATGATATGTCAACACCCGATATCAATATCGAAACCTATCTTGAAATGTGTAATCACACGTACTTCAGAAATAAAGCTTATGATCCAAAGACATTAATTAACTCACGGGAAGACACAGACATCAGATCAGACGACTTCAAGAAGGTCGTATATGAGGCGCATGGAATGCAGACTGATGTGTTTTGTTTACCGACCTCATCTGTACGTATCGCGTGCTAACAGTAGTTCACAAGCTCTTGGTCGCTACGACTTTTGTTGTCGAGAGAGTTACGCTCTGTCAGATAAATTGTTTCACAATTGCAATTACAATAACTCTGTAAAAATAGTGGTTTGTAAATTATCAAGATCCCTATAAATTGCAAGTGCAAGTGCGTGCACGTGATAATGGCATACCATGCGATATCAGCCTAAGGTTACCTATGTACCTGAAACGTAAATATACCATGCGTAAGTGGGCTATGAAATGATGTCCAAAGTGTACATGATTGAGAGTAATTTTGTTCCATAAAAGAACAGTAAATTGACAATTAAATATAGTAATTTAATTTATTTCCGTCGTTTTTGGTCTAGTAAATAAAATAAGTGTCATTGTAAAATTCTACCCCTCTGAAAAAAGTTCCGATTTTTTTCAATTTAGACAACTCTAATCAGGATCAAATTATTGTAAAATGTAAAATTAATTAATTATAAAGACTTTGTGTGTATTTGGTCAATTTTTTTCTTATTTTGTATGAAACTGTGTGTCGGAATGCTTAGATTTTCATAAAATCATCTCTACATAGTGACATAACCATTATGTGAAACTTTCATTGAATTCTGCCGACTAATTGCGAAAGGGTGGTGCCTCCTGAAGTTATTCTTTCAAACGTTTCCTCTTAATTACAACATCGACACAATTGACTATTACTTATTACAACCAATTAACCAAAGCCCCGAAATTGCAAATAGTGACATAAAACCATTATATACTCGAAATGAGTAATGATATTGTCGAATATAATTGATATTTGGTTGGTTTTTAGCACTGTATCTGATATGGATATAAATGTGTTTTTTTTTATAAATTGACCGTGCTAGTAGAAATATAGCACTGAGTCTGATATTGATATTTGTTTTTCTAATAAATTGACTGGGCTTTTATGAATATAGCACTGTGTCTGATATTGATATTAATTTTGTCTTTTTAAATTGACCGTGCTAATAGAAATATAGCACTGAGTCTGATATTGATATTTGTTTTTCTTATAAATTGACTGAGCTTATCTATAGCACTATAATTGATGGTGATAATTTGTTGATTTCTACATTTAATGCGCTACTAAAAATATAGAGAAGAAAAACATTTGGTATAGAGTACCTGTCAAGTAATGTATCTGCTGATGTTTGTCGTTTTTATGGGCATTTCAGCCAATATATATGAAATTTATTTTTACGCTGCCTCATGCTGCAATGTTTTGAATAACGTATTGGTAAAGTGAAGGTTTTAAGATGTTCGACCCCTGCTGGTTTTTGGTTTTTTTTTTCACTTCCATTTTCAAACATTCGAATTTCAAACTATTGTTATTCTGTAAAATGTATCGCATCATCTCATATTTACAAAGGGTTAATCATGTGTTCCACAATAGTGACAAAGGTAATAGTACAGTCCAATATGGTGGCACCAGTTTCCTTAATGACTTTAAAGGCACTTGTCACCTCTCTGTTTTCTTCATACTTAGACATACAAATTTTGACCTTTGGTACCACTAACGAGTTCCGAATGGACATAATTACCATATGGTGTATAACGGGTTTACTTTGGTACCACTTATGAGTTCCGATTTAACGTAATTACCATATGGTGTATAAAGGGTTGACTTTGGTCCTACCAAAGAGTTCCGAATGGACGTTATTAACATATCGTGTATAAAGGGTTTACTTTGGTACCACTAATTAGGTCCGAATGGACGTAATTACCATATGGTGTAGAAAGGGTTTACTTTGGTACCACTAATGAGTTCCGATTTAACGTAATTACCATATGATGTATAAAGGGTTTACTTTGGTACCACTAATGAGTTCAGAATGGACGTAATTACCATATGGTGTAAAAAGGGTTTACTTTGATACCACTAATGAGTTCCGATTGGACGTAATTACCATATGGTGTATAAAGGGCTTTCTTTGGTACCACTAATGAGTTCCGATTGGATGTAATTACCATATGGTGTATAAAGGGCTTTCTTTGGTACCACTAATGAGTTCCGATTGGATGTAATTACCATATGGTGTATAAAGGGCTTTATTTGGTACCACTAATGAGTTCCGAATAGACGTAATTAACATATGGTGTATAAAGGGTTTATTTCGGTACCTCTAATGAGTTCCGAATGGACGTTATTACCATATGGTGTATAAAGGGCTTTATTTGGTACCACTAATGAGTTCCGAATGGACGTAATTAACATATGGTGTATAAAGGGTTTACTTTGGTCCCACTAATGAGTTCCGATTGGACGTTATTGCCATATGGTGTATAAAGGGTTTACTTTGGTAACACTAATGAGTTCCGATTGGACGTAATTGCCATGTGGTGTATAAAGGGTTTACTTTGGTACCACTACTGAGTTCCGATTGGACGTAATTGCCATGTGGTGTATAAAGGGTTTACTTTGGTAACACTAATGAGTTCCGATTGGACGTAATTGCCATGTGGTGTATAAAGGGTTTACTTTGGTACCACTAATGAGTTCAGAATGGACGTAATTACCATATGGTGTAAAAAGGGTTTACTTTGATACCACTAATGAGTTCCGATTGGACGTAATTACCATAAGGTGTATAAAGGGCTTACTTTGGTACCACTAATGAGTTCAGAATGGACGTAATTACCATATGGTGTATAAAGGGTATACTTTGGTACCACTTATGAGCTCCGAATGGACGTAATTGCCATATGGTGTATAAAGGGTTTACTTTGGTACCACTACTGAGTTCCGATTGGACGTAATTGCCATGTGGTGTATAAAGGGTTTACTTTGGTCCCACTAATGAGTTCCGATTGGACGTAATTGCCATATGGTGTATAAAGGGTTTACTTTGGCACCACTAATGAGTTCCGATTGGACGTAATTGCCATATGGTGTAAAAAGGGTTTACTTTGATACCACTAATGAGTTCCGATTGGACGTTATTACCATATGGTGTATAAAGGGCTTACTTTGGTACCACTAATGAGTTCCGATTGGACGTAATTAACCTATGGTGTATACAGGGTTTACTTTGGTAACACTAATGAGTTCCGATTGGACGTAATTACCATATGGTGTATTAAGGGTATACTTTGGTACCACTTATGAGTTCCGAATGGACGTACTTAACATATGGTGTATAAAGGGTTTACTTTGGTAACACTAATGAGTTCCGATTGGACGTAATTACCATATGGTGTATAAAGGGCTTACTTGGGTACCACTAATGAGTTCCGATTGGACGTAATTAACCTATGGTGTATACAGGGTTTACTTTGGTAACACTAATGAGTTCCGATTGGACGTAATCGCCATATGGTGTAAAAAGGGTTTACTTTGATACCACTTATGAGTTCCGAATGGACGTAATTAAAATATGGTGTATAAAGGGTTTACTTTGGAACCACTAATGAGTTCCGATTGGACGTAATTAACCTATGGTGTAT